GGTGGAATTAAAAAAGTTTAGCTTTTTTGAATATTGCTATTTTATCTTTAGAAAGAAATTTTTTACCCTTTACATTACAATTTGGCATTCTCTTTGTTCTTTTTTTATTCCTTAGGGCACTTTACAGAGAACATGCTTAGCCTGTTTCGTCCATTTAAAAGTTCCGAACTCTGGGAAAAGAGTTTACTTTTACTCCATGTTTCCCAGTGACTTGTTCTCCGCATAAAGAGACAGCGTGCGGATGATATTTGCCGAGGCATTCGTTGACAGATATTTACAAAAAGTTACAATTGATGAGATTTAAAATTTTTTTAATTGATCAATAATTGTATTTTTTCCTTACTGAGTAATGAGCACGCGCGCAGTAGTTTAATGACTTTTCTACATGAGAAAGTAGATTGAAAATTATAAAAACCTACTAATAACAATAGTAAAAATCTTTATAAGGCTTTTTTTACATTTTAACACTTATGTAAAATATTACATCCGTCCCTACAAATACAATAAATGTGCACTGTGTATGAAGTTTACTCTTACTAGGCGATCAATTTTAGATGTTGACTGTTGCTCATTGTAAAGCTGACATTTCTCTTTTCTAAATTATTTCATTTCACGAAATTTTCTGTTTAAATGTGCGCATTTTTAAAAAATATGAATGTTGACATTTTTCCCAGACACAGTTATTTAATTTAACCATCAAAGCCAAATATATATATGTATTATGTAAACCAAACTTTCTGAAGCACCCTGTGTGCCGAATATAGAATTATAACAAGTGTGTCTCTATGTAAGGAAGTATGCTTTATTGAATACTGTGTGGAATTTTCTTTGCTTTCAACAATAAACCGTCATATGGCAGTGTATATAGCGTATACTGGTTATAACTTATATACTCTAGTTTCTCTGTATAATCTTGTCTTATGATAGTAGAATACACTAGTTAATAAGACAAAAGAAAATACCAAAACTGCTCCTATCAACTTGGGCATATAATCGTTTTGTTCGTTTTACAATTCTTTAGATAAAACTTACAACATTTCAATAATGGGATCTGTTTTGTATTCTTTTATTCAACTTTGAAATATTTTTATGATGAATTATTATGATACACTAAATGCACTGACAAAAATTGTTTTTTTTCCAGTCACAAGAAGATTGAGAAAAAAGTCTGAATGATTTTGTAATATTTACCATATTACGGACCCCAAATAGTGTGTTCGTATTACAGAATTTCTTTAGTTATTCTTGTAAACCGTATACTTTAGTTTTCTCTCCCTATTCTAGTCCCTACTGCTGATTGGGGGACTAGGGTTTTTTTAAATTCAACTGTGTCGCATTTGGACTGCTTAGAAACTGGTTTAAAACGACTGTAAGCGTATTTTTCATGCATTCTCTGTGTACTACAGTGATCTGTACTCTGTAGTACTCTGACCGAAGAAAAAGCAGGTCTTAGTGGAGACTGGAGCGGGTTTAAAACGTCACATCGTAAAATATACTAAAATCCTATCCCTTCCCTCCTTACATCCAGTACACCAGTGCGATAATGTGAGAAATTAAAAATGGAGAAAAAGAAAATAAAGAAACAGGAAATACAGATTTTAACTACCAGTCACGAAATATATCGGGAAAATGTTCCCTGCGCACTTTCATATTGAAGGGACGGACATTGAAAGTTAAATGGTCTTTGCGTAATTTTCGTTTTTTTTACTGATTAGAACGGCCTAAGGACCCAGGCAATAAGGCAAGGAAAGTTAATTGCTTTTGCGTATTTTCGGCGTACAGTTCTCTCTGGACTGTATAGACCAGGAACCGCCATATCTAATGTGTCAAATCTGTGTACTGCAGTGGGAGGAGATCAAAACAAAGAATTCAGGGGCAACGCATCATTCTTGAGGGAAAAGGGCCCAAGGGGTGGTTTGAAATTAAATTGAGTTTTTTACGGTCTAAGTCGTATGTTGCAATTTTCTCAAATTGTATGGACGCTAAGATTTTCGGTATGAAACGTCTTTAACAATTTTCTCCTTATAGACGCAACAGATAGAAGTAAGATTAGTAGCGATCAAAAGCGCTTTTTTATCTCGTTAAGCCTATACCCCCTTTTATTTTTCGCGAACACTCCCTTTAAGGACTATTTTTAAAAACTGTTATATACATAAACATCCTGAACGATAGGGTTTTATTAATGTTTTTTATTCAGTAAAACTGGTTCTTTAGGGACTCTAAACCTTTTCACATTTGTATGGAATAAACTTAAAAGGTTTAGCTGAACAAGAAAAGTTATTATTATTGCATTTAGAATAAAACAACTCGACTAACATAATATATGTGTCCATAATAATTACATAATAATATATATATGTAATAATATATATGTGTCCATAACAATTATATAATAATATATATGTGTCATAATAATTTTAAGGAAAAAATGCATGTTTTCATAAGGGTTCTATAACGCACATCACAATATATTACAAATCCCAAATTAAACATGTAAACATTGCAGACAAAGCACAAACCGTATTTAAAATGTGGACACCGAGTGATAAATCTGAGTTAGCACCAGTAGTTTGATAAAACAAATTTGAAGATCAAGAGTGGAGAATATGACTCGTTTAGAGGATCGTTTACTTCAGGTAGAGTTAAACATATAGGATCGTTTACTTCAGGTAGAGTTAAACATATATAGGATCGTTTACTCCAAGTAGAGTTAAACATATATGATCGTTTACTCCCGGTAGAGTTAAACATATAGGATCGTTTACTCCAGGTAGAGTTAAACGTTGAGGATCGTTTACTCCCGGTAGAGTTAAACATATAGGATCGTTTACTCCAGGTAGAGTTAAATATATAGGATCGTTTGGAAGTTTTTAAATGCGAAAATATTTCTGTAAAAAAAATAAAAATAAAAATTACAATAAAAATCACAATATAATTACAGACAAAAACTTTTTATTCTCGAACCCCTGCGAAGAAAGGTGGGGAAATTCCATGATTCTTGCAGAAAGCTATAAATCCATCTTTTTTTTTCTTTTTCTTACAAGCTACTTAGTCGTGTGTCATGTTCACTCTGACCAAACAAAAATGTATTTGAATAGATTAAATTTGATTTAATTGATGTTAACTTTTTGATTCTGATTGCAGGCCAATTTGTTTCTTAAGGCATATATCATATCAGAAGACAATTCTAAGCTTAGCCATTTTGTAGAAACTTCATTGATTCAGTGTGCATTTCCTCATAACACTAAACCTGCCGAATATTCTATTTAAATTAGAAAAAAAACAGAATGATCTGCACTTTATTTTTTTAATTATGAAGATTCGGAAGGATCTTTAAATCTTATAACTTTGAAATGTTTGAGAATATTTCTGGAAATTCTTTTTAAAAATTTTAATTTTCTAAATATAAAATATTTATAAAATGAGTATTTAATCGCTAATAAATTCGCGATACATCAAAACGGTATCATTATAAAATAAACAACTAATAAGCTTAAATAAAAAATGTTTGAGTTTACAAAATGTATTATCATGAAACTTTATAGTTTACATTTCATATTTCTTTAAAGCAAAATATTTTTCTAATACAACATGGTTTCAAGAAATGTTTCTTCTCGAAAATGTTTTATTTGTTTTGCATGAAATTTAAACAATCTATGATTGTAGACCCAGTCTGTCAGACATTGTAAAAATGTGTCATCTTACAGGTCAAATTGTCGCGTGGGAAAGGAACTGAATTTTTGCCACAAACTCAAATATTCTTATCAATATATCTTTGCAACCCAATGTCGTACACCGTAGATATTTTAAACTAATTCTGTTAGATCAAATAATCTAAGTTTGAAATATCAAAGGTGTATATCCACTGGTTGCAGAGATATAGAGATATAAAAATTAGAAAATTTGAGGTTGTGGCAAAAACTCCCTTCCTTTCCTTTTCGCTTTTGAAAAGTTGTTTGGATGGATACAACTTAATAAATAAGTTTTTCTTGGTTGGTTCGATTCATATTCATACATTGAAACCCACAAAAATTTGGAATAATTTTCGTCTTTGTTCTTACCATAGATTAATAACAACACAGATAGAACACTAAATGTCGTCTTTTCAAGATTCAGGGTTTTTCGTTCACAATAATCCTGGGGCAGAAGTCAAAAGGAGTTACGCGCATGCTGCGTTGAATTACCATACAGAGAGAAAGCCTGTTCTACGCCGCATGTGCGTTATTCCTTTGGTCCTCTGCCTCAGGCTTATTGTCAACGAAAAAACCTCTAAATCTTGAAAAGACGACATTTAGTGTTCTATCTGTATTGTTAGTAATCTATGGTTTTTCCTATTACTATGGGTTTTGTAATGTTATTCTTGCAACGGACATTGGAAAATTAAAAGAAATAGATGACAACGAGAATTTCCCTGTTTTTTGGTTATTATTGAACAGCAAGAAAGAAAAACTTTTTTGTAGGAAAGTGTGTACAGTAGTGACAGCAATGGAGGACGTACACCAAGCCTTGCCAGTATTTATCAGGTTAAATTATTTTTTGTACATAAGAAGATGTTGTACAATAGAAGCTTACCAATCTATTTGCTGAAGTGTCCGTGGAATGTGAGAAACACTTGAAAAAAATTTGATTTTTGAAGAAAAAAATTTTAACTTTCTTTTTAGCCTTTGTTACGTCCAGGAAAACCAAGGGTTCCCTCAAAAAAATTTAGCCAATTTGGCCCAGCGCTTAACCAGCTAAAGCTAACATATGTACATATATATATATATATACTAGCAAAGAGCTTCATTTGATAGATATACACAGACACTATATACAGTATTACCGCAAAGAATGAGACTTCTAAACTTTTTGCTTTTTACCAAATCATTTGCTAAACATAAAAAGACAATATCAAAAACAGAAGAACGTTAGCATCAATTTTTTTTTAGGTTGTCATTGTTGTCTCATTCTTTATTGTAAACCTGTATATAAAACAGTAACCTCAGTGTGTTTTTTGCAGGCGGAGAGGCGGATACGTCTCCTCTCCGCCGATACAAAATGCACGGTATAAGTCATATCGCTCCGGATGATTCAAACTCTGCTCCGCCCCCGACCCACGGGCAGGGTATCCGCCATGCTATCTCCACCCATCCTTTAGCAAGATGGAGAGAGGAACCATCTCCACCCACCTCCCACCATACAAACTCCTCACCTCTTCTCTCACGTCATGATAGTATTGAGAGCTTAGATCAGAGCAGGTTTGATACTCTATCCAGGCTCAGTCATCATTCCTCCATGTTTAGCCTTGCCTCTCCACTACCAAACAGAACTCCATCATCACATTCTCAATTAACAATATTTGGTTCCCAGGATCCCTCCAAACCTCAGCTACCCCTCCGACAGTCTAAACCTGGTTCAGCCACCTCCATGATGGATCTTGGAGCAAAGCCCTTCCATCTATCTCCGCTAGACCGATCCTCCAGTCAGCTCTCCCTGATATATGGAACTAGACAGGAAGAATCTATGTTAGATCAGGCTAGACGAATCTCCTCTGGAGCTTCTGCAACACCCTCACCCCCATCCAGGCTAGCCAGGCATCATTCTCAACTTAGTCCCGCCCCTTTCTCAGGGAGAATGCAAAGAACCCAGTCTCACCTAAGTGTGAGTCGTGACGGAATCTCCAGATGGTCTGATAGACAGGAGATAAGTCAAGGTTCGGAGCATCTGGAAGTATTTCTGGATTCTGTTGGCAGAGTAAACAACAACACGGAGTTCAGGCTTAGGTAGGTTAAGATTACAAAATTAAAAATATTTAGATTTGAGAAATAATATTATTTATTTATTATTTTTAAAACCTGCCTGTGTTTAGTGATCAGTTTCAGTCTCATTCCGAGATTAGGGTTCAGTCTGCTCCTCTGGTTCAAGGTACACCTGGAGCACAGGAAGAGAGAAAGCATGTTAATCTAAGAAGAGGGCGTTCAATATCTTCCAGGTAATTAAAATATACAAAGATACAAACTCAAATTGTTTAATCCCAATATCTTTCAACACAATGTCGTAAACCTTTGATATTTCAAACTATGAATTCTATTTTATCAAATAATCTAAGTTGGAAATACTAAAGGTTTACGCCATCAGGTTGCAAAGATATAAGGATTAGCAAATTTGAGTTTGTGGAAAAACATGCTAAAGAAAACTATTTTAGAAATTTAGTACAGTTTAGGAATAATGAAATATTCATGTTTTTCTCTTTGTAAATTCATAATTACAAATTGCGGTTTCTATTATATACAAGTGACTGAAGGAATTATAAAACAGAAACAAGGGAGGAAATGAAACAAAGCTTCGGTTTTCCACTATTTTCAGTGTACAGAATGGACACTGTACATAATATACACTGTACAGAATGTACACTGTACAGAATATACAGTATACAGAATGTACACTGTACAGAATGTACACTATACAGAATGTACACTGTACAGAATTTTCAGTGTACAGAATGGTCACTGTACGTACATAATATACACTGTACAGAATATACACTGTACAGAATATACACTGTACAGAATGTACACTGTGCAGAATATAAACTGTACAGAATGTATACTGTAAAGAATGTATACTGTAAAAATTGCAAATACAGTTAAAGCTTAAAATCTAATTACAAATTCCGTGATTTTTAACCGATTAAATCCATGTACAAGGAATATAAATTACACCTTACATCTCCTGGATGACATTATTACCCCGCCAAAGTATCAACATTAACCTCCACCGAAAATATTCAACTGATTTAACTCACTGCTTGATGTCATAAAACCAAGTTGAAAATCAATATTATGTATTAAAAAAAACCCTTATTTTGTCAAATTATTGGTAATATCTTCATCATTGGGGTTCTGACTCAAATTGCAAAAAGTTATATTTATAAACTTACGCTGTCTAGTCATTTCTTTAATTAATGTGTTCTTTATCATAGAGAATAATTCTAACCCGTAAAAAAGGTCGACTAATAGTTCCTGGTCATATTTTTCAGGTGGAGCAGTACTGAAAACTTGATTGCAGCTGGACGAATAGATCAAGAAAATATTGGAGCCAATGGAGCCCGAGATGAAGGAGTGAGAAGAGAGCCTGGAGTAGGGAGAGAGCCTGGAGTAGGGAGAGAACCTGGATCAAGGAGAGAGCCTGGAGCAGGAAGAGCAGGATCAAGAGGATCAAATCCTGGTAATGTTTTTTTCTGACTTTAAAGGGAGTACCCGCGTGGCTGAGCTGAGAGTGTTGTATTGTGGTATGCATTTAAGACCTATAATCAAGCTAAAAATCAAGTAAAAGAGCGGAATAAGGAGTTAAGTAAGAAAGCTTAAACAGGTTGTCTTGCATAGAGAATAGAATATATAGAGAGGAATTTACTAGAAAAAAGTGAAAAACGGCCATTTTGTTATACTGTTTCCATACTGCAGGTGTACTTCACATATTTATGCTATATAACCTGTTGGGCCCTGGAATATCATTTTATAGAAAATCTAAAATTA